ATGTAAATGGATTAAACACTCCAATCAAAAGACACAGAGTAGGTTGAATGGATAAGAAGGCATGACCCATATATGCTGTCTACAACAGACCCATCTTAGAACAAAAGACTCACACAGGATGAAAGTGAAGGAATGGAAAAGTTTTTCCAAGAAAATGGAAGCAAAAAAAAAGCTGGGGTAATAATACTCATGTGTGATAAAATAGAATTCAAAATTAAAGTCATAACAAGGAACAAGGAAGGTGGGTGACTACATAATATTAAAAGGATTGATCCAACAAGAGGATTTACCTGACAACTTATATGCACCCAATATAGATGCACCAAAATATATTTAAAAACTTCTGGAGAAATTCAAGGGCGAGATCAACAGCAATACAATAATAACAGGGGACATTAACACTCCATTGACATCACTGGATAGATCCTCTAGACAAAAAATCAACAAGAAAACAGAGACCCTAAATGACAAACTGGATCAGACAGATTCAAAAGACATTTACAGAGAATTATTCCCCAAAGTTGCAGAATTCACATTCTTCTCAAGTGCCCACGGGACATTCTCAAAAACAGACCACATGTTAGGACACAAACTATGTCTCTACAAGTTCAAGAAGAATGAAATCATATCAAGCATCTTCTCAGGTCATAATGGTGTGAAACTAGAAATCAATTACAATAAAAACACTCAGAAAACATTCAAACACATGGAGGCTAAATAACACATTATTAAGCAATGAATGGGTTACTAAGGATATCAAGGAAGAAATAAAAAACTTCCTAGAAATCAATGAAAATTAACACACAATAACACAAAATCTATGGGACACAGCGAAAGCAGTCCTGAGAGGGAAGTTCATAGCCCTACAGGCTTACCTCAAGAAAACAATAAAAATTTCTAATATACTATCTAACCCTAAACTTAAAAAACTAGAAAGTGAACAAAAAGAAAAACCCAGAGTAAGCAGAAGGAAAGAAATAATAAATATCAGAGTGGAAATAAATGACTAGAGACTAAAATATAATACAAAAGATCAATGAAACCAAGAGCTGGTTCTTTGAAAAAACAATCAAGATTTATAAACCTTTAGCCAGCCTCACCAAGAAACAAAGAGAGAGGGCCACAATAAACAAAATCAGAAATGAAAGAGGAGAAGTAACAGGTGACACCACAGAAATACAAAGGATTGTTAGAAAATACTTATGAACAATTATATGCCGACAAATTCCTAGAATCATACAGTCTTCCAAAACTCAATAGGGAAGAGTCAGAAAACCTGCACAGACCAATTAACAACTAAGGAAATTGAAGAAGTAATCAATAAACTCTCAGCAAACAAAAGCCCAGGTCCAGATGGCTTCACAGGGGAGTTCCCCAAACATTCAAAGAACTAACACCTATTCTGCTCAAACTATGTCAAACAATTCAAGAGGAAGGAAGGTTTCCAAGCTCTTTTTATGAGGCCAGCATATTCCTAATTCCAAAACCAGATAAAGACACTACAAAGAAAGAAAATTACAGGCCAATCCCTGATGAACATAAGACACCAAAATCCTCAACAAAATACAGTGATACCTCGGTTCTCGAACGCCTCGAATTTCGACCAAATCGGTATTCGACCAGGAGATTCGAGAAACTTTTGTCTCGGAATCCGAACAAATATTTGGAACTCGAACTTCCGAGATGAGCCGAGTTGAGCCGAATGGCGTTCATTCGGCCCAGCGCGCCTTGCTTGCGCCATCAGTGTGAGTGCAGAGAGAGTCACGCTTTGTGGAGAGAGTCACGCTTTACACTGAATTTAACCCTTAGACATACTGTACACTTTTATTTCTTGTTGAGACTTATGTTTTTCTACATATTATATACAAATTAGGCCAGTAAATAGGCATTTTCTGGGGCTTGGAACGAATTAATCCAGTTTCCATTATTTCCTATTGGGTTTCATTGCTTCGGTTCTCGAACAATTTGGTTCTCGACCGTCCTCCTGGAACGAATTATGTTCGAGAACCGAGGTATCACTGTATTAGCAAATTAGATCCAGCAATATATTTAAAAATTTATTCACTATGACCAATTGGGATTCATTCCGGGGGTGCAAGGCTGGCACAATATTCATAAATTAATAAATGTGATATACCACATTAGCAAAATGAAAGACAAAAATCATATGATCATATCAATAGATGCTGAAAAGAGCATTTGACAAAATCCAGCACCCATTTCTGATAAAAATATTCAGCAAAGTGGAAATACAGGAGTCATATCTCAACATAATAAAGGCCATATATGAAAAACCTACAGCCAACATCATACTCAACGGGCAAAAACTAAAAGCATTTCCCTAAAGAGCAGGAACGAGATGGGATATCTGCTTCACCACTCTTATTCAACATAGTCCTGGAAGTCTTAGCCACAGCTATCAGACAAGAAAAATAAAAAGCATCCAAATGGGAAAGGAGGCAGTGAAACTGTCATTATTCGCAGATGACATGATATTGTACACAGAAAACCCTAACGACTCCATCAAAAAACTACTAGATTTAATAAATGAATTTGGCAAAGTAGCAGGATACAAAATTAATGTCCAGAAATCAATGGCATTCTTATACACCAATAAAAAACACTCAGAAAGAGAAACTGAGAAAACAATTCTATTTACCATTGCAACAACAACAACAAAAAGATACTAGAAATAAACTTAACCAAGGAAGTAAAAGACCTGTTCTCAGAAAACTACAGGTCTTTGAATAAATAAACAGAGAAGGATATAAAAAGTGGAAGCATATACCATGTTCATATATTGGAAGAATCAACATCATTAAAATGTCCATGTTACCCAAAACAATACACAAATTCAATGTAATTCTTATTCAAGTACCAATGTATATTTCACAGATCTAGAACAAATACTCCAGAAGTTTATATGGAACCCCAAAAGATCCTGGTAACCATAGCAATCTTGAAAAGGAAGAACAAAGTAGGTGGGATAACAATACCAGATAGCAGGTTGTACTACAAAGCCATTGTGATCAAACCAGCCTGGTACTGGCACAAGAATAGGCATATAGATCAATGGAACAAACAGAGAACCCAGAAATTGACCCAAGACATTATGAGCAAATAATACTCGACAAAGAAGGCAAGAGCATACAATGGAGAAAAGACAGTCTCTTCAATAAATGGTGGTGGAAAAACTGGAGAGGTACATGCAAAAAAATATTAACTAGACCACTAACTTATACCATACACAAGAATCAAATCAAAATGGATAAGAGACTTAAATGTAACTCGTGAAACCATAAGAATCCTAGAGGAAAACAGGCAGTACAATCTCAGACATCTCATGCAGCAGAATTTTCACTGCTCCATCGTCTAAGGCAATGGAAACAGGAGAAAACGAACAAATGGGACTACATCAAGCTAACTTAAAAGCCTCTGCATGGCAAAAGAAACCAATAAAATGACAAGGGGACGTACTGTACAGGAACATACTTGCCAAGGATACATCTGTTAAGGGTTTAATTTCCAAAATGTACAAAGAATTCATACACACCAACATTAGGAAGACAAACAATCCAATTAAAAAGGGCAACAGATCTGAATACATACTTCTCCAAAGAGGACTTACAGATGGCCAAGAGACCCATGAAAAAAATGCTCAATGTCACCAATCATCAGAGAGATACAAATTAAAACTAAAAGGAAGTATCTCACACCTGCCGGAATGGTTATCACCAATAAATCTAGAAACAACAAGTGCAGGTGAGGGTGTGGAGAAAAGGGAATCCTAGAACACGGCTGGTGGGAATGCAGACTGGTGCAGCCATTGTGGAAAACAGTGGAGTTTCCTGAAAAAGTTAAAAATAGAACTGCCATCTGACCCAGTGATCCCACTTCTAGGAATATATTCTAAGAATCCCAAAACACCTATCAGAAAGAATATATGCACGCCTATGTTCATAGAAGCATTATTTACAATAGCTAAGATCTGGAAACAGCCCAAGTATCCATCAATAATAAATGGATAAAAAAGCCGTGGTACATATACACAATGGAGTACTAAGCAGCTGTAAGAAAGAAAGATCTCTTACCCTTAGAGACAGCATGGATGGACCTGGAGAGTATTATGCTGAGTGAAATAAGCCAATCAGAGAAAGACAAAGATCACATGATCTCACTTATAGGTGGAATCTAAAGAACAAAATAAGCTGATGAACAAAATAGGTGCAGAGGTATAGATGCATGGAACAGAATAACAGATCCGGGGGGTGGGGCAGTGTTGGGGGGACGGGACAGGAAGAGATTAGCCAAAGAACATATATACACATATGCATAACCCCTGGACACAGACAATAGTATGGGGAAGGCCCGGGGTAGAGTGCGGTTGGATAAAGGGGGACAGAAAGGCAGAAAATGGGACAAATTTATAAGACTGTCAACAATAAAAAAAAATAAAGTTTAAAAAAAATGCATTTAATAAAGTATACAAAGACTCTGGGCTTTTTTTTAAATTTTTTTTATCCTCACTCGAGGACATTTTTCCATTTTTTGTTCAGATAGAGCAGGAGGAAGAGAGAGGAAGAGAGAGAGAGAGAAACATCGATGTGAAAGGGACACATTGAGTGGCTGCCACCCGCACGACCAACCAGGGCCGGGGACAAACTGCAACCGAGGTACGTGCCCTTAGCAGGAACAGAACCCGGGTCTCTCCGGACCGCAGGCCGACGCTCCAACCGCTGAGCCAAACCGGCCAGAGCAAGACTCTGGGCTTTTTAAAAACAAATCTGTTTGCATTAATGGACGGATATTTATAATGAGTAATATAAAGCAAAAATCACAGTAATTTTATTATCTGCTGAAAATATTCTTCTCCTTAAGAAAAATAGAAAGTGAAAACAGTTATCAGATACTTAATGAAAGTAACTACACAATCACCGCAACTGTCCTGGGTCTTACAGATGTAAGCGATTAAGTCATCAAAATGATAAAGTTGGACTTACTTGTGTCTCACAGTCTGCACGGTCTCTGCTGAAACATTGTTGACGATGCACTTGGCAGCACACTCCAGCCCCTGCCAGACGGTGGAAAACCCTGCGAACACACGTCCAGGTGAGCGAGGCAGCGCGGAGCACACGGAGCCCCCGCGGAGATCAGGCCTCCGCGTACCTTGCACACTGCTCGCTGCCACCACCATGGCGCCGTCCAGCGCAGACCTCCCGTTCCCGTCTTTCTTCAGGGATTCCGGCACAAGCTTGCTTCCGTGCTTCTTGACATGCGGAGCCAGTTCTTTTCCAACGCAATTGGCTACCGTGCAGACGCCATCAACTGACACAACCACAGAGAAAACCGTGTGAACGCGTCTTCCCTTGCTTTTCCTCGTCCTCAGCAACATTCTCACACCAGCACTTACATTGGCTTGGCTGCATTTCCCTTCCTGTTTCGGGATGAGCACCACGGCTGGCTAGTTTTGGTTTTAAGGATGTGTCTGCAGAGCCTATTGATGTTTTTAATCCTGCTTCCTAAATATATGTTCTTTTTGGCAACTCGCTTGGAAGAAGAGGATCTACCTTTTCTATCTAGCTGCTGCTCTGCTAGACAGGTAGGTCCACCTTTCATGTTGTCCAGCTAAGCGGGTTTGCATTCTTTCTCTGTATCAGCAAGTACCTCACTGAAATAGTAATAAAGTATTTAAGTCCACCTAAAAAGTAAACAAACCAGAATCTAATTCGAAAGGAAACTAGATATTCAAAATGATAATCTTACAAAATTTTAAGACACTCCACTAAGAAGCTGTCCGACCACCTTGAAATGCCCAGCCTCCGAGCCGTCCTCCCAGGAGGGGTAAGAGGGGCTTGGGAGGGCTGGCAGAATCCTCGAGTCAGCTCTACTCAAACAACGATTCCTTCCTCGTGACCCTCAACCACCATGCTGGGGAAGAACGTGTCCTGTTCCAGCACGGACAGTCAGGACTACTCCTCTGCAAAGGCAGACACGCCTCTCCGACATAATCGAGACCCTTTCCCCAGTGTTTCTCGCACTTTTTACACGCAAGTGAGAATCACCGAGGGATCCCTAACAATGCAGACTGAACCAGCAGGTGTGACGCAGTATTTAGAGCGACTGCTAAGTCTGCCTGGTCGGCTGATGTTGCTGGTCCACAGACCACCATGAGTTGCAAGGTGAACCTGCTCTGAGTAATTCTTTACTCTTAAAGTTACACCTACGCTGAGCAGTCAGATGAACTTGCATTAAGAGATGATTTTGCTTTTAAGTGAGAAGAAGGAGCCACGGAAGGCCACCTCACCCAGGAACTGGCTGACTTTGGCCGCCCCTCCAGTCGCCTGCTTTGCGATGTGCAGCCCCTTGGTCACGGCGGGACTAACTTCCACCGGCTTTTCTTCCGGCTGAATCCGTTCTCGGAGTTTGGAGGCGCCTTTCTGAATTGCTTTGCCAGTAAATTCAGCACCTTTGACTAAACCCCAACTTACCCAGGAAGCACCTTTGAAAAGAAAAATTGTAAGTGCACAATATTATAGGCTGATTATACCTTTAAACGCTTCAAGAACTAACAGATCAGCAGGGAAAAAATCCAAGGGGTTCAAATAGCAGATCCCAAACATGTCAGGCGCTTTCAAGCCAACTCTGCACTTACATTTCCTGCCCGGAAGATACACATTTTCGAAGTAAATTCATCTCTAATACGTGTATCATGTATCACTCAATAAAAGAGTTGTGTACCACTCTCTGCTGCCACTACAGCGGGTGGGCATCTCTGCGGACCACAACACACCACTGCTAGGGGCTAGTCTGGGCTGTGGTGCTGTGAAGACAGCCGCTGCCTAGGGGACCAGGATCCTGCTCCTTCTGCCTTGGTCCAGGCACCTGGTTCTCCCCAAGGCGGCGTAAGGGTGGCAGACACTGATGATGCCACCTGGAAAGCAGGAGCGTCATCTCCAACCCCAGGCAGGACTCTGCTTGCTGGCGGAGTCTCAGGCATAAGGAGGGGCATCTCAGCACATCTGAGCGAGCAACCTAACGCTGAATGACAGGACACGAGAATGCCCAGGAACGCATCCGAGGAAGAAAACCCCCAGAGGAGGACGCTGGGAGCCTAGAAGGAGCGACCATTTCCACGAGCGCAGGCTCGTCCTTTGCTTTCGTGGGCTTCTAACTGGATGAAAGGCAGCGGGAAGCAGGAGGGAGACACTCCGGTGAAAGGGCCCCAAGGGGCATGTGGAGAAAAGAGGGGGAAGAAAATGGACAAAGCAGGGGAAGACATAGAAGGACAAAGGCTCCCCCTGAAGGGGAGAAAGTGTTACCTTGCCCTGGAGAGCTTACAATGGTAACTATTTCCTTTTTGGCGACGCCCTGGAACGTGTCTTTGGAACTGGACATGTAAAATAGTTGGGTGTGTTCTCCCAGGAGTGTGGCATGGCTCTTACACAACTGCTCCAGGCCGTGAGTGAGCAAGTGTCCAGCGGTCACGGGAAAACCATACCTACTTAAAAATGCACCAACGAAAAGTGGCAAGTACAGCTGATTACAACACCGATGTCTCTCTTCCTGTTTCAGCCCTGTCCACCTCCAGCCGCAACCCCGCCAGCGCGACCCTGCCCTTGGGGGAGGGTTAGGGCTCAAACCCGGGCAGACAGGTTCCATCCGGGAGCTCCCGTGACAACAGAGGGGCTGAGTTAGGTGACGGATTGGGACACTTTAAGAAGTAAACACCAGCTGGGCTTGAAGAAGGAAGACGGAGACGCCACAAAGTAAGTGACAGAGGGGGCAGCTCCAGAAGACTGAAGGACACAATGAAACTCTGGAACAAGCCCTGGCCGGTTTGGCTCAGCGGTTAGAGCGTCGGCCTGCGGTCCGGAGAGACCCGGGTTCGGTTCCCGCTAAGGGCACGTACTTCGGTTGCAGTTTGTCCCCGGCCCTGGTTGGTCGTGCGGGTGGCAGCCACTCAATGTGTCCCTTTCACGTCGATGTTTCTCTTTCTCTCTTCCTCTCTCTCCCTCCCACTCTATCTGTACAAAAAATGGAAAAATATCCTCGGGTGAGGATAAAAAAAAAAAAAAAAAGAAACTCTGTAACAAGTGAGGGGGGAAGTCCACTGGGGACTGAGAAAAATAAATGGAAACAATGACAAAGGACAAGTCATAGGGCTCTAATTCTGAGAAATGCTAGGTGCAAATTACAAACAAGCTATCACCATGCAAAAGCATAACAGAGGTAACTAATATGATAGAACAAAGATAAGGAAATGCAATTGCATTGGTCGCCATTAAGAGCTTTTAAATGGCAAGTGTAGTACCAGGCGGAGACTAGTTCTATCCATGGTTGACCCAGCTAATGCTGAGATACAGCAGGCCATGAATGTTCACTGAATAAATGACAGGTTGGCAGATGTCTTAAAATGATGTAACTCAAATCAGCCCATTATTACCAACCCTCTACCTCCCCCTAAACTAGCTCACTGGACTCTACTGTCTGAGAGGTAACCAGGCTTCCCGAGCCAATATTCTACACAGGTCAATGCGAAGCCGTCATTTCACTTTTCACAGTCATAGAACAAGACTCACGCTTTGACAAGTGAACAGGAGTCAGTCCTGGGCTATGGCGAGTGAGCTCAGTTTACATACTTGGTCGCTCACCTCTGCACAGAGCCTGTATGAGTCTGGCAGATACAGTCTCTTGACAAATCAGATCACTTTCCCCAGAGGAAACCTTCAGTCTTTTCTGCTCCTTTCTCTGCTACTCGTGCCTTAATATTTGGTGAGCTAGGAGTGTTTCATTCTACTTATTAAACAGCACACAGGAGACATGCACTCTGATTGGCATTACGTGGTCTGAGTGGTACCGCCTGTCAGGGGTATTCCTAGACCTCCAGCCCGAAGGGTACAGTACGCAAGGAAAACAGTCACAAGCCCGAGGGCACTGAGAGTTCTCTGAAAGCTCTAGAGAGATCTCTGCCCTGGGCTGGATGGTTCTCAGGATGCTGACGCCCCTGAGTAGAACCAGTCTGCAGAATCCGCGTGGTACCCGGCGGCCTACGGCTTGGTGGTAGATGATAATTTCCCACAGATGTCCAAAAACAGTGTCTCGTACTCCACGTGTGCTGTTCAACAGGATCTTGACATTCTTCCCGTTGAGGGCTGGGGTCTATGCCCTATCCCCTTGAATCTAGGTAGGCCTGCTACCTGCTTGCATCGAGTGATGCTGGAATTTTCCAAGAGGATGTCAGAAAGGGTGATTCTGCTGGGCACCCTGAGCACACGAACGTGCAGAAGCCAGACTAGCTCCGGGCCATCGCGCTGAAGTCAAAGCTAAACAGAAAGGCCACGTGTGGGTGCTCCACAGACAGCCCTCGATTTTGAGATCTGGGGTCCGGATGCCAGATATGTGAGGAAGAGCCAGCCGCCAGTCACTGCTACCGGTCGGCCCGAGTCTTCCTAGCGGGGGCCCTGCCATCAGGAAGCAGACGCCGCCTTCCCGGCTGTGACCTTCCGGAACACCGGGCCCTTAGAGTTGCGAAGCATAAACAGACGTCGGTTGTTTCGTGACATTAAGTTTGGGATGGCTTGTTACAGTGACAGTGAATGGATGATGTTCCAGCAGTATAACCTCAGAAATGCACTGCTCCACACAGGTGTGGATGCAGGGCACATGCACACAGACCGAGGCCCAGCCCAGCAGCCTGTCCTGTTGGGGGCTGGGGAGTCCGAGGACAGATATTCTCAACGTCTTAGGACCCTCCTTCACGGGGCGATTCTAAGTGCTAGTGTCCTGTTTTCAAGATTTGGCCTTATCGCTTTTTCTCGTCTCAAGCAGCATTCTAACATTGGGCAAAATAATTTGTTAGCTCCCAACTAACCGGTTATTTTTCACTTATTTCAGCATATTGGTTTTTCGTGTTGGAGGTTTCCTCTGCTTGAGACACCTTTATCAGTTTAAAGAATTTTGACTGTAAGATGAAAACCTATATTGACACTCTTCTAAATGACTGGAGGAGAGCCCCTCACTGAGTCATGCGTTTGGCTTACTGAATAGTGACTGGCAGTGATTTTTAAAACTAAGAGTCTGACACTGAGAGCTAAAAGGTTAACCAGTTCAAGGAAGATGTATGTCAGTGACGCTTGTTCTGATTCTAAATACGCGGGGCAAAGCCCCTGCGCCCTGCCAGACAGCGGGGCCACCTGCAGCCAGCTCTCTGCACCCCAACCTCTCGCGCACTCGGCGGGTCAGGAAGGGCTGCTTTGCTCCCGAAGACAGAGGCTCCCCATGGTCTTGGCGGACAGGGCAGAAGGGGAGGAAATAAAAGGGTTAAAAGGGAATTTCCAAGGGAAATGGAAAATAACTAACTTTACGTCCAGGACTACTTGCGAGCTGGGGATCCCTGCAACTTCCCACTGTCCGTTTTCCCAAGAGTAAGAGGGAATAGACCGAGCAGAACTTACACCTCTATGCAATATGTTCCTTCCACTTGTAAGTGTTGATACACTGATTATTTAGAACCAAAATATAAAGTGTGATCTTCCTGAACACCCTCGCCGGGCCCCGAGGTCCGGGGCAGGTCGCGTGCTGGTACCTGACAAGATGTTCTGGGCCACCTTCTCGCTCCACTCGGGCACTTCCTTCCCCTTGTCTTCGGGGGCTGGCTCGCAGGGGACCATGTGCCTCAGGTTCACCTCTTCGCTGCCAGTACCTTTAGCCTGAACAGTAAACATGTTTCAAAATGTGACACCGTCAAGTACTACGAGGGGGGAAGTTATGAAGCCAACAGATACTAGATACAAATAATGGAAATATCTCCAACCGACCTGGTCACCAGCACATTTTGTAGCACAAAGTGCAACACCATAACTGACATGAGGTGAAAACTTTCTGGTCTTAGGTATGGCCCAGTGGTAAATAAGATGTAAATACCAACATACCTCCAAACACAGCACTTCTCAAACCGTACAAGGACCTTTTCTTTCCTTGACTGGACTATGAGTTCCTTAAACTGCTGTCCCCCCCTAGACATCAGTATGGACATGGTACTCAGTAAGGTTGGGGGATTTCTGTTAACTGCCTCAATCAGTGAGGAAGGATGTTTCCAATAAACTGGTTTTGACAGAAATCAAGTAAAAGAAAGTAAACATATAAAGACACAGAACCACATCGCATTTGATAGAAATGGGGAATACGGAAATACTTGTGCTTTGCTAACTCAACAGTTGTTATAGGAGCTAACATTCAAAACCTCAAAGCTAGCCCGGCTGATGTGGCTCAGTGGACTGAGCATCATCCCATGAACTGAGAGGACCTGGTTCAATTCCCGGTCAGGGCACATGCCCGGCTGTCAGGCTCCATCCCCAGTAGGGGGCGTGCAAGAGGCAGCCAAGAGATGTTCTTATGTCTCAAAACAAAACAAAACAATCAATGAAAACATATTAAAAAACAACAACAAAGAAAAAAAAAACTTAAAGCTAAATTATTCATTCTGAGAACTTAGGAGTAGGTAACTCAGATGATTTAACTTGAAAATCAAACTTCCCAACAGAAATACAAAGAGAACTTCACTTAAAACATAGAACAACATTAAAAACAAAACAAACACTTTTCCATGGGGGAAAAGCCACTCATAGGTAAAAACTGAATATAAATTTAACAAAATATTTTGACAATTGGCCAATATCTCTAAAACATATTGAGCTTCTAGAAACTGAGAAGAAAAACACTAGAAATTCAGTAATAAAAACGGATAAAGGGCCCTGGCCAGTTTGGCTGGACCAGAGAGTCCTGGGTTCGGTTCCTGCTAGGGGCACGTACCACAAAAAAAAAACAAAAAAAACCAACAACAAAAACAAACAAACAAAAAAAAAACAGATAAAGGACGTTAGGAGACATCACACGGAAAACAAAATTCAAGGAACCCAACATCACTCGTAACAAAACTGCAGATATAAATGGCATCGGACATCATGGTGTAAGATACTCCAGGACACCATTTCTCATCCATCAAACGGTCAAAACACTGAACACTCACCACCCAACTTGCGGCTCAGTAACCCCACTTCTGCGAGTTTATCTGTTGAATTGCCTACAAATGTACGAATCCACAGATCTACGAAGTTACTCCCTGAAGTATTGTTTTGTTTTGTTTTTTTATCCTCACCCGAGGACATTTTTCCACTTTGTGTTCAGGTAGAGAGGGAGGGAGAGAGAGGAACAGAGAGAGAGAGAGAAACATCGACGTGAAAGGGACACATTGAGTGGCTGCCACCCGCATGACCGACCAGGGCCGGGGACAAACTGCAACCGAGGTACGTGCCCTTAGCGGGAACCGAACCCGCGTCTCTCAGGACCGCAGGCCGACGCTCTAACCGCTGAGCAAAACCGGCCAGGGCTGAAGTACTGTTTATAATAAAATGACACCGGAACCACAGCTGACACCTGTCAATAAAAGCTGGAAGGACAAGTTCGGACACATGAACCGGACAGTAGCTGGGGACCACGGAGGAAGTTCTCTATTTACTGACATGAAAAGATGCCCCCGATTTTTTATCAAATCAAACGGTTCACTCTACATGATGTTACCTTCTGCAAAGAGAGGGAGAGAAGAAATAACCATTTGGTTTGCTTTCATGTGCCTCACGAAACCCAGTGAAATAGACAAGACCCTAATAAACGGGCTCTCCAGCGGCAGGGACATGCGTGCACATGGGCAGGGGAGAGGAGAGCTGCTCAATGCATAGACCTTTTTATACTACTTGAATTTTTCAAACCAATAGATTAAATTTTTAAAAAATGAAATTTTAACTGACGTGGAAAAATGTCCAAATACACTGTGAAGTAAAAAGCAAGGAGCAAAGCAGTATGTCGTATTTGTATTAAATTTGTATTAGAAATCATACATAGGGGATACACATAATAGCCACACAAAGCACAGGGGGGTGTGAATACACATCTGATACGCAGAGAATGTGTCTGGAAGAACAGGGAGAAGCTGTTACAATGCAGAGCTGGGAGCTAGGAGGCGGGGGACAGACTGGGGAGGCCAACTTATTTTTCACTTACGTATCTTTTTGTACCTTTTGCACTCTGTGTGTGCATTAACTTAAAATTTAAAAAAAATAAATATATTTGGTCCGGCCAGTGTGGCTCAGTGGTTGGGCGTCGACCCTGCACCAAGGGGTCGCCGGTTCGATTCCCGGTCAGGGCACACGCCCAGGTGGTGGGCCTGATGCTCAGTGAGGGGCGTGCAGGAGGCGGCCAGTTGATGTTCTCTCTCATCGATGTTTCTCTCTCTCCTTCTCCCTTCATCTCTCTCTAAAATCAATAAAGAAAGAGAAATAAATAAATAAAATAATAAAATAAATGTATTTGTTGGAAACACTTTGGACTCCCAATGTCCTCATAAAACTAGCCTGAGCTGTTCGACATAAACCAGTGACACGTGACTCGTAAATGCAGAATATCCGCCTGATATCCATGAGCCCCCAGGGCAATTACTGAGCACTTAGGATCCAGAACCAGCTGCTCGTAACTCGGTGCTCACGGTGCTCTTCCCGTCTCTGTGCGTTGTCTGTTCCTGCCTCTGCCCTAAGACCTCTGACCTGCTCTGCGTGTGGCCAGCTCCTCCTCTCCCAGGGCACACTGGGTCTTCGGCCGCCCCCCGAGTGCGCCCAGAGCAGCCCACTTATCTCTGAGGCTCGGCTGTGCAACAGACGGAGGCTCACCCCTTTCTACACAATCCATGCCCCGTCGTCTCGTCCCCACACTGGACAGAGGATCTCTTTGGTGCCCTGTGCCCCCCACCAGCCGGTCACGTCCCCGAGATGAGGAACTGAAACTTTCCCGCTCTGCTCAGCGTTCCAGCCCTTACTAAAGACTGACCAGCTCTGACCCAGATGTGCCGTTTATAGCGTGTCAGAGGCTCAAAGTCTAAGAAACGAAAGCGGAAACGACGAAATGACTACTAACTGTCAAACGACCCACCTGCCTTGTGGAAAGCCCTGGAGAAACAGGACCTGAGTGGAAACGCAGTCGAGGAAGAAGCGGACCCAGCCCCAGAGCCCGGTGCCCACAGCCAGGTGGAGAACACAGCGAACCAGCAGGTGCCTCCTTAAGGCCGACAGGAAGGTCCTTCCAAGAGCTGCAGCCAGACCCACCCTCAAAACAGGAGTCCCTGAAAACCCTCAGTGACCAGCTGTGGGAAGGGACGTACAGCTGCAGTGATGTTACCAGGGACCACTCTGGGGCGCCAGGAGCTGCTTTCTTTGGTCAATGGGGTAGTTCAGGGCCTTAGAAATTCCTGAGGCTGGTTCGAGGTGCCTGGGTTGGAACAGGGACACAGACGTGATCGCTCCCTCCCTCCACTTACCTTTCTCCCCCGTTTCCCTCTGTGGCGCGAGTCCTTGCTGCCCTGGTCCCGGGCAGGGTCCAGCTGTCTCGCCTCGGAGCCCCCGGCTTCCTTCAGCGGCTCGGAGGGGCTGCTCGCCCTGCCTGGGATCTGGAACTCGCTTTCTCCTTCAGCTCGGCTCCAGTGCGCCTGGGGAGCCAAGGACTGGGCTCAGCTCAACCCCCCTTCCCAGAGGACCCCCCCCCCCGGCTACGGCGCACTGCGTTCTAGGAATCCGCCTGGTCACGCGTCAGTGTCTGACCGTCTTATTTCATCTATTTATTTGAAAAATTTTATTTTCCTTTATTGATTTTAGAGAGAGAGAGAGAAACATCGACTGGCCGCCTCCTGCGTGCCCCCCACTGGGGATGGGCCCACAACCTGGGCATGTGTCCTGACCGGGAATCGAACCAGCGACCCCTTGGTGCAGGGTCGATGCTCAACCACTGAGTCACACCAGCCGGACAGACAGTCTTATTTTAAGCACAACTACTTTTGTTTGTCTTTCCCCAGTACTTCAGTTTTATCTCATCACCAAACCTCAACCCTTTGAGATAGTTTACAACATACAACCTCAGCCAAATTCCAAAAGACAAAGAATAAAAAACTTAGAGCGGTTTGTTGGTATAAGTGACCATGCAATCAGATGCAGCTACTTTTGAATTTAATGACATAATACTTAATACATTTTAGGAAACATGCAAGACTAAATAAGTATGAGGTCCATGAACAAAACCCAGGTGCAGGCTAACGGCTCTGCATTACTGGGATCTGAGTGCCGATTTCCCCAGAGTGCTGAAGGGATCCTGCAGGCGGACACTTTGCTGAAAGAACACTGAGGATAAACAAGGTCAACATTGTTGCCAGTAACTAACTTTTGTTCTCAGTTGGAGTTTTGGGACAAGAGAGCAAACAAAAACCAACATGTGACCCCAAAATAAAACTCAACAGGGAATTAAATATATAACCTAGAAATCAGTTCCATGTCCTCCCTAAAGCCCCAGTAACAGAGGTCCAGTGGATTCAGGAGGAAGGCAACCGGCTCCGTGATGGGTCTGGAGCACTGAAGGCCACTTCATGCTGGTGGACAGGACAGCGAAGGCCTCCCTCGCCTTCCTCCCCACGGCCCGGCCTCTGCAGACCTCGCCCTGTGAACACGCAGGCTGCACACACTTCCGCTGGGGATCACCTCTGCTGACACCGACTGAACGTTCAGCGTCCACTACGCCAAAGCCTGTGCTGTCCGTACAATGTGATGCTGACGTGACTCTCACCTTTTCCTCAGCTGGTGACATGCTCCCACTACCTTTGACCTTTTAAACATCGGCATGGACTCAAAGTGTATTCTACTTTCTGCGAAAACGGGAACAAATCTTTTCAAACTGAAGTAAAAGGAAAGTACAGCTGACCCTGAACAACACAGGCTTCAACTAGTGGCCTCACTTATATGTGGCCTTTCTTAAAAAATATACTGTAAGTGCACTCTGGGCAAAGACAGGGAGTAGGAGATGCTGTCCCCGGACGCCCTCGTCAATGTACAACTAAATTACAGAACCGCCACTGTGAAAGCCTTCTGAAGACCAGCTGAATAGAATGCCTATAACTAAAGATATAAAGACTTGTCGAGCCCGGCCAGTGTGGCTCAGTGGTTGAGCGTTGACCCTGCACCAAGAGGTCGCTGGTTCAATTCCCAGTCAGGGCACATGCCCAGGTTGTGGGCCCGATCCCCAGTGGGGGGCATGCAGGAGGCAGCCAATCAATGTTCTCTCTCATAGATGTCTCTATCTCTCTCTCCCTCTCCCTTCCTCTCTCTCTAAAATCAATAAAGAAAAAAAATTTAAAAAGAAGCAGACACATCGAGACGGGCAGGAGAGGCAGAGACTCGGCCCCCTGAGGAGCACGCGGCCCACAGCAGCTGGCTGTGAATCAGGTGAGACCCCGCAGGTGACACAGGGCCGCTGTAGCCCCAGGCGTGCTGCTAAGGGGCCTGCGTACAGCTCACTCACAGACATTCACCCTAAGCCCCAACAAAGGGGCAGCAGCTTGAAAGACGCCAGGAACACACAGGGGGGAACTGAACTGTCTGGCTTCAGAGCGAGGCTGGAGGGCAGCTTTCCCGCGGACAGAAGCGTGGGCAGAGGCACCCAGTGGGCACCGTCAACCCGAATGGCACCTTTCCCACCCATCCTCACGACTGCCTGAGAAACAGTCCCAGCCCACTGGGCACCCCCAGAACCTCTTTCAGCAGTGGCTCTTGACAGCGTCTGCCTCCGCCTGCGCTGTAGACTGCCCCCAAATCTCTCAAAGGCCACACCTCCGAAGTGGCAGGTGGTCTCAGCATGCCTGGTACCTCTTGCTAAGTGGCGCTGAGCCTCACTCCGCAGCATCGTTTTCCCAGGCGCCTCCCAAGCCCAGCACAGGCAGCTTCCCACAGCAGATGACTGCGTGGCTCGTGCAGCACTGGATTGCGCACAAGCAGCGGCGGACTTTGGCAAGTACCAGAGTCCCCCCGCCTCAAGGGGCCCCAGAACCGACACACCTGGTTGGCCAGCTTCAAACCACACCAGAGCACCACCCGATCAGCACCACGGGCGACACGCCAACAGAGGGAACTAGGCAGGCACCAGAGGCCAAATACAGCAAATTCCACGCTGAGGGTCACCTTCCCGCACAAAGGCTTATCCACTGTAGTCATGGCCTGTCCTCACGACCAGTCAGCCTGAGGGTCAATCTGACCCACTGACGTGCTAACAGCAATCAATGCTCGACTCCAACAGGAGAGCACACACCACTCCCACAAAGAACACCCCCCCTACACTGGCTCAAGTAAACAGGGAGGCTGATCCACTGGGCCCCAGGGGGCACCTACTACAAAAGGCGACTCTGCCGTCCTGGGTGACACGGCAGCTCTGCCTAATACAGACAAACACAGGGAGGCAGCCAAATTGAGGACACAAAGTAACATGCCCCAAATGGAAGGAGAGGAAAAATCACCGGAAAAAGAACTAAACAAAATAGAGACAAGCAAGCTACCAGATGTAGAGTTCAAAACACTGGTTATAAAGATGCTCAGTGTATTAAGGGAAGAGTGGATGATCTTAGTAAGAACTTCAGCAAAAGACAGGAAACGAACAGAAAAAGAGATAAAAATTACAGAAAAGAACCCACACAAGACACGACATAATTAAAATGGCTTAAAGACAGAATCCGAAAGCATTAGGAGAAAAGCCGTTAGTTACACACAAAGGAGCTCCCATAAGACTCTGTCAGCTGACTTCTCAAAAGAAACTTTGCAGGTCAGAAAGAATTGGCATGAAATATTAAAAGTGACAAAAAGCAAGGGCCTATAACCAAGACTCTTCTATCCAGCAAGGCTATCATTTAGAATCAAAGGACAGATAAAGAGTTTCCCAGACAAGAGAAAGCTGAAGTAGTTTACCACGACCAAACCAGTATTACAAGAAATGTCAAAAATTCTCACCTGGCCAGAGTGGCTCAGGGACTGAGCCTTGACCTATACACCAGGAGGTCCCTGGTTCCATTCCTGGTCAGGGCACATGCCTGGGTTGTAGACTCAATGCCCAGGAGGGATCCAAGCTTGGTTTCCCCCTGATGTTTATAAACGATTTCAGAGTTACAGAGGGCAATTATTCAGCCAGGGGTCTTGTTTCGAGGGCGGTAGGCTGCTATCACTGAAGGTCTACTCAACCTTTGTCAGGCCACCTTCTCTGGCCCCATGACTGGGCTGATGCCCTCTGAATTCTCATTACCCAGGGAACTGTATCTTGCACTTAGCACACTGTTTTGGGATTGCCAATAATGCACATGCACCTCTGGATGGACCCCGGCATCTTGAGGAGGAGGCAGGACCCCAGGTGACTAGGCACCCAGCACAGGGCCCACAGCATAGTGGAAAATTAATACATGTTTGATAAATGAATGGCTATTTGATACAGACTCTGAAGTCTTGATTAATCTCTGCAAGACAGCACGGTGTAAAATGCAGTGTGTGGCTTCACACCGCACTGTGATCCGAGGTGCAGGCCAAGCCAAGAGGTCTGCAAGATGAACTATGTGTCCTGGCTCGTATTTATGGACAGCCTCTTGGCCAGCCTTTACCATGAGTTCCTACACCATCACTTGATGAATGGGTCACCTTCAAGCCTGCTTGAATATCACTCTGTCCACGAGGGCCCCTCTGATCACCCTATTCACAGTGGTACCTGCTCCACCCACACCAGAACTGTTTCCAGTCACCCGACTCTACGTTTTCTTCTGTAGCTCTTATCTCCTTCTAAGGCATCATACACTAGTTGGCTTGCGTGTTCCCAAACACAGGTTTGGCATTTGTTACAGACAGTGACTAAGACTGTGAACTCTGGAGTGAAACTGCCCGGGCACGTTAAGGTGGATTCTCATCCTGAAGGCAACCACACAAGTTACCTGCAGCCGGAGGTCGGACATTTGTCTTAATAGATCCTCGAAGAGTTCTTTGTCATCTTCCGGTAACTCAGAAGACAAGACGACTCCCACAAAGCATCCTGACGCCTGTAACATTGTGTCAGGAAACATGTAGGCTCCCACAGTACATTTAAGAACTGGAGATCTATCAGGAACTAGAGGATACAACCAGTCACAAACCTGAAAGAATGAGTTGGAAAAAAAAACAGTTAAACAAAAACAATGACTACAACCAGGTTTTGACCAAACTTTTAAAAACGGTATACCAGAAAATAAACATTTTGAAATTTGAAGTGCATTTTAAAAGGCTTCATAGAAAAATCAGCATCAGCAAGTCACCAATAAAAATCAGCCATTTACTAGTCTGATCTTCTGGCAAATTATACATAAGAACTGTGCTAAAAATGCCATGCTCCACTATTTATAGTCTTAGAACAGGTGGCCTTACATGTCCACTCTTAACCAACAATGAGTCTAGCTTTAAATAATGGTCAAAGTAAATTAAGGTTTTCTGTATCATGTAAAATTAGACATCCCTTTGTGGAAAAAAATAAAATCAAACTATCTTCAAGGACTCCACATGGACTTGCTGATTTAATCCTTACAACACTTCCATGAAGTTGGTTAGTACTGTTTAATTACAAACAATTATTAATTAGAAACTCAGCAGCATTCACAATGCTGAAGATCTACCCAAGAGAATCTAACAGGACAGAGGCTGAGATAAAACAGTTATGTTTACCGGGTTTACTACTAGGGACCCCGAGAAAGACGATATCAGCTAAGAAGGGCTCCTGGTGGCTAACGGGGTTCAACTTTTTAAACACGCGAGCCCAGCAGCCACGTCTACACAAGCCCTCACACAGAGCGCACTGCGGGGAGCAGCCTGCACTGACCTGCCCGCCTGCCCCGGGCCGGGCACATCTGCCAGCTCTCACAGGGGCTCCTGCGGTTCTATTTCAGCAGCAGGGTTGGGGCCTGCCCCATCCTACCGGGGCTGTGCGGCCACAGCCCCCCCAAGCTTTCCCATCAGCCGACCAGAGTTGCCCCATTCTCACCACTCAGGACAGTATTTTTTGGTCCAATCAAACGGAAAGGATTTGGAGTCCTGTCTGCATGAGGAGGAGCCAGTCAGGGACCTGACTCACATGTCAGCTGTCCTCCGGCGCTAGGGGGCGCTTTCTCTCTCCACCAAGGCTGGCAGGTGGAGAGACCAGCACAGGCCAGGGGAGCTGTCTAGCCTGCGGGGCCTGGCGCCAGGGCCACCTAAGGGCACTGCTGTTTCCACCGCAGCTGCTGTCACAGCTGAGCTGCTTGCGCGGAATCAGGTTTCCGTCTTCTCTGGGCCTCAAGCCGGGGATTCCTGTTGGCCAGCGGTGTTCATTGGGCACCGTGGAGTTGAATCAAAGTGACACAGAGCGGCCCTGCACAGTCACCTGGGGAGGGCAGGCTGTCAGTGCGCGGAGGTCTGACACTTGAGCTCACTTCCTAGAGATCTGAGTTCAGAAGAGGCTACGTTTAAACCGGAGTAGCCAACGGTATTCACTTCCAGAGACATACCTTCTTTGAGTGACCCGAATAGAACTGTGCCCCTCACCTAGGACATGGCTCTTCCCAGTATTAAAAACACTTCCGTCCTGGCCGCTTTGGCTCAGCAGTTAGAGCGCTGGCCTGCGGTCCAGAGAGACCTGGGTTCGGTTCCTCGGTTGCAGTTTGTCCCCGGCCCTGGTTGGTTGTGCGGGTGGCAGCCACTCGATGTGTCCCTTTCACGTCGATGTTCCTCTCTCTCTCTCTCTTTCTCTCTCTCCCTCCCACTCTATCTGATCAAAAAATGGAAAAATGCCCTTGAGTGAGGATTCAAAAGAAAAACAAACTTCCTAGACAATCTAGTATCAAAATGCTGTGTGGTGAACACACGTCAAAGAGCACAAAAGAGTTCATACAAACAGATGGAAAACTCTGGTGGTACACAGTCATCATCTCTGACCAACGGACTATAAATGTCCAGAGATCAGAGGACTCAAGTCTGACTCTTTCCCGGAAAGTGCTTGATAAACATTTTCAAATGATTTTTGTTTAAGGATTCTCTTTTTTCTAGTTGTCTCAAAAGTCACTCTCCATGTTTTATAAAAGTCAAACTTCAGGCCAGTTACAATAACACTGATTTTCCCACCATCTGTGGTATGTGAAACTACTTCCAGTAAGATACTAACTACTTAAATTTGAGTAGTTATGCATTTTCACATGTATTAGGGAAAAAATACATTTTTCTCTCAATTTCATAGTTGCTATCATTTATGATAAAGTTAACAAATGAGACAGCTAAATAAAAATATTAAAATAATAGCAAAATATGGATTTGACCAAAAAATGGTAAAGGGTAACTTACTGAAGTCGGAAAGTTTGGGAATAGCTTTTTACTGGGCCATGCTTCCTCTAATACTAACTACAGGCTCATCACCACAACTGAACTGGAGTATCCCCAACTCCTCTCACATAACACGTTCCAGACCTTTCTCGGGGTGGATTATACAGACGGATGAGCCCCCCTGCCACAGGCTGATCCCGCCTGGCTTCCCTCTCATGTCCACGTCCTGTACAAACTGACTACAAATTCAGCAGGTTTAAAATGCATATTAAAACAAAAACCAAGAGAAAAATCGTTTTTACAAGCCCTAAAATTCTAAGTCTGCCTACTTAAAGACAAATTATTTTTCTAATTTCCTAAAAACCAAATTAATTTCCAATTTCCTAATTTCCAGCAGTGATTTTTGCTAAGAAATCATAGCTAACTTCTAATGCTTAGTTGGGTTAGTATTTGTTTTTAGAACATACAAATATTTACTCAGTTAACACATGATAACTCCCTTTTAGGAGAATGCTACAAATATCTGAATACATGCAAACGAGAGCCCTTTAAAGAGACAAATTAAGCCCTGGCAGGTTTGGCTCAGTGGTTAGAGTGTTGGCCTGCAGACCAGAGGACCCCGGATTCGGTTCCCACTAAGGGCACATACCTCAGTTGCAGTTTGTCCTCGGCCCCGCTTGGGGTTGTGTGGGTGGCGGCCACTCCATGTCTCTCTCTCACATGGATGTTTCTCTCTCTCTCTTCCTCCCTCTCTATCTGAAGATAAATGCAAAAATGCCCTCAGGTCAGGATAAAAAAAAATGAGAAGAGAATTAAATTTGGGGTGTAATTTTACTTTTTATTTAGGACCCAGAATAGGAGTGAATGAAAAGATTAAAAGTAAAACTCCAAGCACTAAGACAGGACACTTTTCTAACGGTCTCGCTCTGTGGCCAGGGCTCAGGTGCAGAGTTACTCCGGTTCGCTTCCCAGCTCCATCACAGGCCAGCTCTTTGACCCCCACTGTTACAGTGCACCCCTATGACCACATCGGGGGCAACTTGCAGCTCTCCGAAGCCTCCTCACCACCCCAGTCAACAACCCTACAGCTTCTAACCTCCAGGCTTCTTCCTAAAGTACCCTCAGGACTCCCCACATTCTTCCTGTCTAGCAGTGTCTTCCTTCCACCAGGGCCCCACACATGTCCTTCACACTCCCCCGCACACCTCGAACTACCTTTAAATAACATTCAAGTCGGCACTGCGTGAAAACTGCCGAAGAATGAAACACGGAGCACACGGAAGAGGACAGTGAAACCCAGACCACCAGTCCTGCCACCGGCCACATCTGGGCTATGGACAGCGCCTGTCCTGCTCCATCATCTCCCTCCTCGTCAGCCCTGTTACATACCCAGTGGACACTCGTCCTCACCTCCAGACCCCGTCTCCCGGTACCACCGTCCTTTCCCAACAGGACGCTTCTGCACCGCCACCTTCAGAACACCTCGCATCTCCACAGCAGTGCCTACCACAACCCTGGCAGGCTGTTCCCTTGGGCCAAGGGTATCCTGGCAAACGGATCTGCTTGGACCGTCAGAACTGTATCCTCAATTACCATCAGAGAATCTTCTATTTTTACTGATATATAAATTTCTTTCATCTGTATTGCTGTGAGTATTGCAGATGCCCCCTATTCTCCCCCACTGCTCCCCGCACCCAGTTCCTGCCCCACCCCAGGCCTCAGCTCACTATAGTCTAGGTCCATGGGTTACGCATATAGATGGTGCAAGGTCTCAGGCTGTTCTCGGTCCGCATCCCCCCCCCACCCCTGAGATCCAGCAGTCTGTGCCCTGCCTCTAGACCAGCTTCTCAACCTTGGCATGGCTGATGTTCTGGGATGCATGATTTTCTTATTGATGGGAAATAGCCTGTTCAGATGTTTCGCGGTGCCCCTGGCCTCTACCCATGACCTGCCAGTGGCCCCCTTCCCAGTGTGACAATGAGAACTGTTTCCAGACACTGCCAAACGTCCGGGGCAGGCAGGAGGAGAGATGGCCCCTGGCTGAGGTCCGGAGGCGGGAGGAGAGATGGCCCCTGGCTGAGGTCCGGAGGCGGGAGGAGAGATGGCCCCTGGCTGAGGTCCGGAGGCGGGAGGAGAGATCACCCCTGGCTGAGGTCCACTGTTCTAGACGCTGGGCTGAGCTCAGCCCAGTGCAGCCCCTCCGCTGAGCTGGGCCTCATTGTGGGAATTTACAGCTAGACATCCACATGTTACATAAACCCCTTTTGAAATGAAACTTATTAGGTTTCTTCTTCAGATAAAAAATTAAACATTTAAGACCTGTCCCCACAAATGTAATACCAAAACAAGACTTTTTTTGTTAAAAAAAATAAAGACTATCAAACACAAACACAGACATTCAATGCTCATAAATTTCGTATCTTTTTAAAACTAGGAGTTATAACACTATTTTTGCACTTGTTATCTTAGACACATTACAAATATTAACACACAGAAAGGATGCATCTTAGACGCATTTTAAATAAAGTTTACATTTTCCTTTGGCTCACCTGAAGGAACCCCGGAGGACGGTTTAGAACTGTGTCCAGAGAATTATCCAAGAACCTCACAATTCGCAGGTACCCGGGATACGAAGGTGCGCTGACCTCCCCTGCAGGGTTCACGAAGAAAATCTGTACTCCATTTGGTATCAAAATCAACTCGTCTGCATCGAGCCCTAGGGTCTCCAGAGGAGGCGGCTGAGAATGATTTCCGTAAAAGTCTGCTCCAGCTGAGGAAAACTCCCCCGATTCTGTCCCGTATGACACGGTGTAGTGACCCTCGGCAGCCTGAGGCGTGTAGGCAGGAGGTGCTTCTGCGGGGTGACTCCCAGACCGTGGGGACAGAGAGCCTGGGGCAGGGGCCGCCCCCGGGCTTGTGGCTGAAGCATTCCCAGCGGCCTCAGTGTGCTGAGCAGGGGAACTGAAGGGCTGGGGCACCACTGACTTTTCGGACGTGTCTTTAGGCGGGAATTCTGGAAACAGCTTGGGCACCTCCTGAAGGTCGTTCCGCAGAGACGTGTCAAGCCCCTTCTCCAGAATCTCCAATCGGGCGCGGACGTTCTGTAGCGTTTCTTTCATTTTCTGTTGCATCTGCCTGGCCGAGTCCCACCCAGGCCCTGTGTGCTCGGGGTCTGCGGACGGGACGCTGACCCCCCTGAGCAGGTGTCCTATCCCTTGCTTGTAGAGGTTCTTCGCTTCTTCCTTCTGGCCCAGCTCATCTGTACTCAGCCCCTTGTTGACGAGCGCAAAGGCCTTCTTGTAGGCCTCCTTGATGATCTGAATTCCAGCAGGTTCTCCGTTCTGGGGCTCTTGCTCCATTTCTGCAAAACAAAAAATTATCTTTGATTATCTCACTTGGCTCTTTGTTTACTTCCTGTGAACCTCTCCTGCCTGAGTCTATTTCAAGAAGCCCGGGGCCTGCTTGTGTGGCTCAGTACTGTGCTCCTTAAGCTCTGTTCGATCTGACCCGGAGGAGGCGCCCAGTGCACCTGCGCTGAGATGACAAGCCAACGATGCTCTTGGCCCCGTTTTCATTTCAAACAGAAAGGAGTCAGGCAGAAGACAGCGACTGACTAGTTTTCTTCTTCCAGTTTCTCATAAGAAATAAAAATCTCCCATAACGTATCTTGAAGGTCGGAACCAAAGAGTGTCATTCTAAAATTCATTATACTAGAAATACAAACATGCCCAGCGGATTAAAACGGAGGTCGAATCACACACTGGAGATGCCGGAAACGAGAACAAAACATCTGGATGAAGCTGTACAGTTACCTCGCGTCCACTTCGAGGCGGAAGGTCCCTTCCGCAGTGAAGCCCGCTCCCCCCCAGAACGCCACCAACCGACTCTGACAAGGTCCCGAGAAAGGCATAACTGTTCTTTTCGACGAGAAAACGGCACGAACAGGCATCCAGAGGAAGGTATTTAAACGGCACGTGAGAGCGAAATTCGCATCATCCCCGCGGGGAGATGCCACGAATCCACGGCTGAGTGACCGCACCCTCGGTGGCTGGCAGAGAGGACCCCTCTGAGCAGGTGTCCTATCCCTTGTAGCAATGGGGACCCCACCCTTCGCTGACGTCCGTGAAAGACGGCAGACACGGCCTGGAAACTGCAATTTCTCCTAAAGCTGAGCCCTGGCTCTATGCCCTGTAATTCCCCTGATCGGTAAGTACCCCAGAGAAACAAATGCACGAATATACACACCCAGAACACGCACAGTGCTATTCACATGCCTTTACTCACCAAAGCCGAAAACTTGAAGAAACGCAAATGCCCACTCACAGAAGAAAGGATAAACAGTGGTGTGTTTATCCAATGCACATACACGGGAACTAAAAAATAAATAAACCGATGCCTGCAATGCTGATGAATCTCACCAATTCTTGGAGCAAAAGAAGCCAGATAAAAAAGACTTCCGATGGAGACCACATAATACATGAATGATTCTGTCAAGCTGAAAAATAGGCAAAACTAGTGTGTGGTGACAGAAATAAAAATAGTGCTGGCAGGTGGTAAATATAGACTTGGAAGAGGCATGAGAATATCTTACTGTATCTGTAAATGTTCTTTATCTAGACCTGAGTGGTGACTGCATACATAAAGAATCATTAGGCTACACATTTAAGACGAAGGCACTACATGTTATTTCTTAATACTAAAAAAAAGTAAATAAAGCCATAATTCACAAGGACGAATCAGGAGGAACTGGAAAAAGCGACAGACAAGTGGCAACTCTCAAAACAGACCAGAGAACGCGGGGCCTCAGCTGTCCCAGGAAACTGGAGATGCGGCCCCATAGCCATCGCAGACCAGCCACGGGCCCTGAGACGGATGAAATTCCATCTTCTTCTGGAAGAAAGAGGGCCAGCTGAGAGCTCGTTCACAGAGGAAGACCCCTGGCTCCCTCCTGCACCGAGCACCCCCTGGCTCTCTCCTACACGGAGCACCCCCTGGCTCCCTCCTACACGGAGCACCCCCTGGCTCCCTCCTACACCGAGCACCCCCTGGCTCCCTCCTACACCGAGCACCCCCTGGCTCCCTCCTACACCGAGCACCCCCTGGCTCCCTCCTACACCGAGCACCCCCTGGCTCCCTCCTACACCGAGCACCCCCTGGCTCCCTCCTACACCGAGCACCCCCTGGCTCTCTCCTACACCGAGCACCCCCTGGCTCCCTCCTGCGCCGAGCACCCAGGACACGCTCTCTCTCCAGCCCTGAAGAAGATGGAATGTTTTAGCTCAAGAACACAAAATAAAGTGTCTTTGGATAGAGGACTGTTGGTCAGGATGGAGGGTAACTACCGAACCGCAGGAGGATTAAATGAGCAATTACACCCTGAATGTCAAGGCGCTCAGCCTCCTCCCTCCAGCTAAGAGTTCTGGGGCTTGGCGCCCTCCGGAACGAAGGCTGCAAGGGTCTCCTCTGAGGCATCCGATCAGCACCAGGAGGAGAGACCTACAGACAGTGACCCCATCCTTCCCCCAAGGAAAACACCTCAGGCAACTACCCCGAGAGAAGACACAGCTGCCCCCTCCCACCCCCCGAGGCTGCAGCTGGCTGTCCAGTGGTGCTCCCATCTTATATATAACAAGATAGCCAAGGATCCCAAAACGTGAGAAAAACATCTAAAAATCAAGAAGACAGTAAGAGCAACGGAATTTGGTTGATACGGACAATTCGTAAGGAGAAGAAAACTTCAAAAAAAACCCACCATCTACGTCAACATACAGAAAAGACCGCACCCATCGAAGAAAAACAGGATATACTCACACCAAGATACTCGAATAACTAAGGGAGCTTCCAGAAACTACTTACAGAATGTCTGGAAAGAAACTAACGGGCGTGAGCAGAGAAGGTGAAACATCACAGAAAACACCCGGATCGCGGAGCCGAAAACACAGAAGACGAGGCGTTGGAAGGAACAGACAAGAACATTAGAGAGGACCGAGTGCAGAGGGCCGACACGTGATAATACACCTTTCAGAAATAGATAACAGATGAAAAATAAAAAAGCGTTGAAGAGACGATTCAAAGAACTTCCCAAAACAAGAAAACACGAATTCGCAGACTTAAAGAGACCAATGGCGTGTCACCGGGTAAAGAACACCCACACCAAGGCGTGCGCCATAAAACTCATGCTCAAAGGGCCCCTCTTTGAAAAAGGGAGAGAGAAATAAGATTACTAAGAAACTCCTTAAAAACAACAGAAGTTAGCCCTGGCCCTGGTTCCGTGCCTGGGTTGCAGGTTCGACGCCCGGCCCCAGGTCCGCACGCACAGGAAGCGACCAACTGATGTTTGTCTCGGTCTCTCCCTCCCTCCCTCTCTTCCCCTCTCTCTAAAAAATAGTTTTAAAATATCAACAGAAAAATATCCTTGGGTGAGGATTAACAAACAAAGAAACAAGACACAGAAGTTAGAATAAAACAATACAATTAATTCAAAATTCTGAGCGACAGGAACTTTCAAACTCAGCCATGGGATCGCTCAGATACTACATTTTCTGTCGCTTAGACTCCATGTCTGGTGACAGGAATCCCCCCGCCGATCATGGGAGCTTCCCGGGTGACAAGGATGTAGCCAGTTCACGCTGGACTAGAAGACAGAACCTCCAGAGATTTCTTCAAGAAACTAGTATTAATTGAGAGATGACCTAATGTATTTCTGTGAGAGGACTCAGTTTAATAAGTGATCAGTCAATCAACACGTGTAAAACTAAGGAAATAAAAACCAGGGAAAACAAGATGCTGAGCCAGAGAAAATGGGTCATCAGGATGTACAGCATGTTTCCGTTTGGGTTAGTGTCACAATAACGTAAATGATGAATTTTGACACAAGCAAAAGTATGACACAACCGTCTTGGGGAGGTGGACGGACAGAAAGTTTGTGGGCACGTAGTGTAGGACGAAACGACGACGTCACCTTCCCTACTTATGTTCCCGGCATGGTAACTGGTTACAATCTAAGCGGAGAGGAAGGGAGGGAGGACCAGACCATGCGCTCGCCATCTGTACACCTTTGCCAGGAAATGCAATCACCACTCGAGGTCTGTGCCTGCTTGGGGGAAGGGACTGGACAAAGGCAGTTTAGACAAATGCCAGTGAGGTCTGAGTGACCTGAAGTGCCTACCTGTCTTGGGAGATGCCTACCTGTCTTGGAAGGTGCCTGTCCATCAAGCTGAGGAGCCAGTCAGTAGCCAGAAGGGGCGTGGCCACTGCCAGCTCCTGAAACCTAAATATTTCATCTCCTAGACATAGGAAAGGGCCCATCCACTTTCACTTCCTTTCTCCCTCTCTCACCACTATTCAGACTCCTGGGGTGGCTCATGGGGCCCATGAGCCCATGAACCCACGCCCTGCACCTGTCGTGTGGCCGCAGCCACGTGGAGGCCATGAACCCACGCCCTGCACCTGTCGTGTGGCCGCAGCCACGTGGGGCCCATGAGCCCACGCCCTGCACCTGTCGTGTGGCCGCAGCCACGTGGGGGCCATGAGCCCACGCCCTGCACCTGTCGTGTGGCCGCAGCCACGTGGGGCCATGAACCCACGCCCTGCACCTGTCGTGTGGCCGCAGCCACGTGGGGCCATGAGCCCACGCCCTGCACCTGTCGTGTGGCCGCAGCCACGTGGGGCCCATGAGCCCACGCCCTGCACCTGTCGTGTGGCCGCAGCCAGGTGAGACCCATGAGCCCACGCCCTGCACCTGTCGTGTGGCCGCAGCCACGTGGGGCCATGAGCCCACGCCCTGCACCTGCCGTGTGGCCGCAGCCAGGTGAGACCCATGAGCCCACGCCCTGCACCTGTCGTGTGGCCGCAGCCACGTGGGGCCCATGAGCCCACGCCCTGCACCTGCCGTGTGGCCGCAGCCACGTGGGGCCCATGAGCCCACGCCCTGCACCTGTCGTGTGGCCGCAGCCACGTGGGGCCCATGAGCCCACGCCCTGCACCTGTCGTGTGGCCGCAGCCACGTGGGCCCATGAGCCCACGCCCTGCACCTGTCGTGTGGCCGCAGCCACGTGGGCCCATGAGCCCACGCCCTGCACCTGTCGTGTGGCCGCAGCCACGTGGCCCCTGAAGGTGAACGCACTGAATCTGGACTAGTCCTAATCTGGACACGGCTGCACCGCGGAGCAGACACTCTGGACTTTGGCTGTATTTCTGGCCTTGCTAAACCCACTACTGCTCTCTTCCAGGACTGGACTGAGGGACACAGGACCAAGAAATGTAATTCCACACCAATAAAAACCGTCCATTCTCCCCTGCGAGTCTTAGAAAATTCACTTTAAGCATGTCACAAGAAACTCCTGCCCAGGCGTGTCGGCG